AACTTAATCGTTATATCTATAGAGTCTCATTGACTCATACAATAATACAATTATCTTAGAAGTCTATGAAGATTCAAAAATCTCACATGAATAAAAGATATAATTGGTGAATATGATTACAATTTAAATATGTTAATTTGATTAATTAATTTTCTAAATTGTGTTATATGATTATTTACAAAAATTATTTATTTATTTTATAAAAATTGAGAATCACTATATCTGCGAGGACTTATTATCCCACACGATAATGTGATTAATTTAAGTCCCTACGAAGATTCTTGAAATCTCACATGGAACTTAAATGGATTATTTAGATTATAAAAAGATAGTTAGTTTTAACGGTTGGTCATTGAAACCATTAATTATACATATAAATTGAATCTCTATACCTGCAAAATCTTATTGATTTACACGGTATGAGATCGCTTTAAATGTTTTGAAAATTCTTAAAATCTCACACGACAAGTAACTAATTAGAGATAAATTTCTCTTATTCATTTCATTCATTTTTCTTTCAATTGGATAAGAATCGAATTCTCTCACCTCTGCCTTTTATAAAATAGGCTTGTCATAATAAATGAAATCGCACATGTAATCATGATGGAGAGTGCTATACGATATGAGTGTAGCAATATTATTGATAAGTAAAGGACCTTAGGACTAATGGAGATGAAAAAAAATCATGCTCATACATATTAATATACCCTTTCATGCTAAAAACACATTTAAAGACCTTGCTTAATAATTACACTAATTCTTTATTTGAAATGAGTTTATGCCTAAAATCAAATTAAGCTTAGCAAGAAAAAATTATTATTTACAATTTCTTTATCCTTCTTTTTCACACTCTCTTTTTTTAATTAAAAAAATGACAATTACATTGATTTTCATTTGGGAACTAAAAAATATGGGACAGATATTTAAACATGAAATTTATTTTTGGAATAATAAACAAAAATTAGACACGTGCATTTCAAATTCAGAAGCAAGAACCTGTGTGTAGCACGTCCCAGATCTGTCTCACTACTTCTGTCCAACAAACTCCTCCCTCTCTGATCTCGATTCGAGCTCATGGCTCTCTCTTTTTTTGTCTGCATCCAGTTTTTTTTTCACTCCTTCTTCATGCTCTGTTTTTTCATTTTATCGTCCCCGCTCTCTTCTCTTCTTCATTTCTGTTCAAGCTTCTGTTCCTCCTGTCTTCTCTTTTTTTAGTTTCTCTTTCCTCTCTTTTTTGTGCTCTTGTTCTCCTCTCTTCCCATGCTCTATTTTCCATTCTTGGTCTCCTTCTTTCTCTTCCTCATCTGTCTCTATTTTCTACTCCGTTTTCCTGTGTCTCTCTCCTCCATTTTTCGTTCTCTATTGTTTATTTTTTTTTGCGTGCATGAGGTCTGTGTTCTCTCTTTTCTTCTAGTTTTTTTCTTCTTCCTCTGGTTTTTTGCATTTGCCATGACATCTTGGTGCTCTTTTCTTTTCCTAGAAAAAACTAGCTCCTCCAGTTTTCGTTCTCTACTATCTATTTTTTTTCTGCGTGCATGCGGTCTGTGTTCTCTCCTTTCTTATAGTTTTTTTCTTCTTCCTCTAGTTTTCTGCGTCTGCCATAACGTCTTGGTGCTCTCTCCTTTTCTCCAGTAAAAACCAGCTCTCCCCTCTCTATTTCACATTCAGCCTTATATAGAGGATGGAAGAGGTGAATCATTGCTCTCCTGCTCCACTTCTTCTTTTTTCCTTCTTTTCAGCTGCATTTTTTGCGTGTGCCATGCTTTCTGTTTCCTTTTCCATTTGCTGTCTACTTCTTGTTGTTCCCACGTGTTTCTATTTCTGCTTCTTCTGTGTGTATGTCTAATTTTTTTTCGCCTGCTCTTTGTTCTCTTTTTTGTTGTGTGTTTCATGCGTTCTCCTCTGTGCTATGGCTCTGGTTTCGTGTGTTCATTGTGCACGCAAGTTTGATCTTGTTCTTTTTTTCTTTCTGGCATTCTGTGACTGTGTGCTTGCTCTGTGAAGCTTTTACGCCTGGCCGAAAGTTGTTTTCAAGCTACTCTCTTTATACGTGCATGACTAGTGTTATTTGCCATTCTTTTTAATGCTTTTTTTTAGATTAAAGAAGAGAAAGGAAAAGTTAATTTTAAAATATATATATATATATATATATTTAAATGGAGAACAAAAGGATTTAAGGAGAGAAATTTAAAAATATTTAAGTTAAAAAAAATTAATTTCCAATATCTTTGAATGGTTGAGATAATTTAGGAGAGATTTTAAAAGACTTAAACAAGATTTTTTTTATTTTTTTAAAATTATTATTTTTAAATATAATTCTAAAAAAGGATTAAATTTCATTTTGTATTTTTATAATTTTTTGATTATTTATTATTAAATTTAAAAAATATCCGGATAAAATACGGTGTTTACAATCCCTACTCGATTTATTGTTTGTCAACTAAATATTCTTAAATAGGCATGGTTGATCCTTAGGAATTAAAGGTTATTATGATTAATTGGAATTAATGATAGAGGTTATTATAGGACCCACATATTTTTATTTATATTTTTTTCTCCAAATATGGGGAGATTTTAGAGAGAAAAAACTCAATTTTATCATTCTCCTAAGCTCAATTGTCAATGAACCTAGGAGTATTTAATTGTCTTAAGTGGGACTTTAAAGTAGTTCTCCTAAGTTTTTATACTTAATCTTTGGTGTTATAAATTGACAAAGTTGATCCTATCTTCCTTTAATATCTTTCTTAAATAATTGATAATTGGCTTTAAGTGGTTGTGATTAGTTTTATAATCATATCATTATAATATTAGTTGCTTGTGATTAGTTGTAGTTAATGTCCAGGACATTACATAACGTGTTAGACTTCATATTAAAAAACATGAGGGCAGATGTGTGGTGAAGGTTTTCAGACTAGCTTTTGTACTCTCTGAATCTCTCTTCTAAATTAAATCATATTGCCTCCAATACATGCCTAACAACAAATGAGTGAAAATATTACACATTATTCTCTTTTCCTTTCAAAGATTTTGTTTCAGTGGGTAAAATGATTTAGTTAGGCACTTTTATTGAGTGTTTAAATATTGTATACCCTTCTCGTGACTATGTTTTTATCCCATTGAGTTTTTCCTGATAAAAATTTTTGATAGTACAATGAGTTGGCTTTGTTGACACTAAAGATTATTTCTTCTAAGATATTGAGACTAAAGAATAGATCTTTTTTAACTAAATTACTACATACATAAGGGTTAGGATTCGAACTCCCAACTGCTTGCTTAAATAATGAAAGTTTCTACTACTCACACCAACTTTAATTAGTTTCTTAATAAAGTTTTAATGAGACACAATATTTATTATGGACATTTAGGAGAATATTATAAATATTATATTGTGGATGTCCATAATTTTTAGGTCTCATTTGGTTGTTAGAAAAGATTAGAATTGAATAGATTTTAAAAAAATAAAGATAAAAATAAGATGAGCAAAATGTGAAGGGGCACAGGTGAACCATATTCATAAGAGAAAAGAGTAATTTAGTTTATAAAGTTTATAATTATAATTTATGAGATTTTTGAATGGTATGATAATTTTCACATTTGTGGTATATGGTATTGAGTTTTATCATAAACGGTGATTTAATTAATTTTTGTTTTGATTCTTTCAATTCATCCAATTATTATCCTTTATAATAACCAAACAAGACTTTAATTCATCTCTATCTTTAATGTCTTGAACCATAACTTTTTGAAGAATTATGTCCTATAACCTTTATATAATTTTTTTTTCCCCGTTGAAAATGGATCAAATATAAACACACCCCACGCGCAGCCCCTTACATACCTACCTTTTCTTCCACAGAAAAACGTGACCCTTATCTCAAAGGAAAGAATAACACACACTCACCCCTTAAACATATGAGGAATAAAATTTATAACCTTCCTGTTTTAAGAGAGTGTAGGGGTGTCATTGAATCAAGAAGTTCTTAGTAACCTTTATAATGAATGGCTTGGAGAGAGTTTTTTATAATTAATATATTATACTATTCAAAAGCTACATGATATATCATTATATTATTTTTTTATTTCTTTGTAATCCTAGGATTAGATTTTAACTATATACTAAAAACTAGATCAATAATTAAATTGATCAAAACATTTATTCAAGGGTTAACAATTAAAATTGTAGTCAAGTCAGTCATAAACAAATTATTTTATTAAACTAGTCAAGATATTATTTTAATAGTTCAATGATTTAATTGAGTGAGTTAACTCAGATTTCCACCCTAGTAACTTTAATAATTGAAAGCTTATGAACGAAGGTCATATTCATGGCAAATGTCATATGTACCTCATATGAATAAGAGATAGTCTTTCATTATTTTTTTCTTCTACTTCTTGTATGTCTTTTTTTTTTTCTCTCTCCATTATTCTTGATATCAACGTAACAATTAGAATCCAAGATTGTTTATGTTCATACAATTATATTAGATGGATTTGAGAAAATTAGAACTAGAATTAATTAATATATAGAAATTCATATTCAAAAGAAAAAATGATAGTTAGATCCAAAATGTTAAATTAATGATAGCTACATTCTTGATAAAAAAATTAAAAATATCAATTTAAATAATTACAAATTAAATAATTTCAGTTACAAATATGTATTAATGGGCAAAAAAAATAACAAATATATATTTAAGTATTAAATATTACTTTTAAATTATAATAAAAAATTTTATTTATTAATATTTGAATTGATATTTATAATTTATTTTTTAAAAGATTTTGTCAGGTTGTCATTAATTCAGACCTAACTTTGATAATCCACTCCATAATCCATTGATATTGATATATAAATCTGAGTTTTTGGAAATTAAATAAAATTCGGGAATTTTTGTGATCCACACGTATATCTTGGGGGCAGCACGGATGGGCCAAAGGGAAATAAAATGTTTTCCTTGCTCTGTTCTCTTCTGATCTTCCCTACTGTTACTGGTATGTAATCATGGCCTGCACATTCCCGTTTGCCCATATTCAGTATTCTTGTCCGTCTCAAAATTTTGCTAAACCCCTTCAACGAATTCCCGTGCTTTCTTTTCCGTCTCTATCAATTTCTCATTCTAAGCATGTTTCTGCAAAAGCAGTTTCATCCTACAGAGAAGGAGTCAAGGACACAATCAAGCAACAAATTGTTGAAACGCCAAGTTCCGATTTAACTCCAAGCCCCATTTCATCTTCAAAATTGGTTCTCGTTGTTGGTGGCTCTGGAGGTGTTGGTAAATATCCATTTATCTTTTCTCTACTGTTTCACCGGTCACTTGAAATTAAACTTCTACTATTTTGGTACATATGTTGATACCTCTTAAATTGATAAATATGAGTTAATTGTAAGAATAAAGAAATCATGATGGATTATGCCATTCTTGATCTAGGCACAATTTAGAGAATCAAATTGTTAGTTACTTGGAAGTTTATCATATCCTTCTTTGCGCATGCGTATGTGTTTGTTTTATCAACTTATCCTAGTTTTGGGATTTGTGTGTGAAATTCTAAAGATATATTGATGCAAGGCTCTAGACAACAGAATTTCCTCTAGAATTCATTGACACCTTCTCAAGATTCTTCTAGTTTATGGTAATACCTAAGAAAGCAAGTAGGGTGTTCTATTTACATTCAGTTATGTTTCATAATTGATCTATTAACTGCCACTAACGGACAACTAATTCACAACTTCTGATTACATGTGACTGCTATTAACACACTACTACTGCTGCTAACTACACTTCTTACATTTAACACGATTAAACTGTGTTCTCAGATTAGTGCTATAAAATGTGAAAGTGCCTGGTTCAATGCGTATTTGATATTAACTTGGAGGTTTGTAATGGGTTGAATTACATTGCAGGGCAGCTGGTGGTAGCATCGCTGCTTAAGCGGAATATTAAATCTCGCTTGTTATTAAGGGATCCTGAGAAAGCCAAAGCATTATTTGGTGAACAAGATGAGGAGACATTGCAGGTATTTGATCTCATCTTAATTGAGAAATCAAAATACAAATGTCATTGCTCAGACCTCCTTCAAGTAAAAACAAGCTTTGTCTCTCAAACTTGATTGCATTCTTTCTCAAGATTGTTAAGTTATAGAGAGCTTTTGAACAAGATAGGTATTCAAAGGAGACACTAGGAAGCAAGAGGATTTGGATCCATCCATATTTGAGGTATGCTGTCTATTGTGAATTGCAAACACTTCATTTCCTTTGAATTCGTTTGATTCTCATCTGTAAAATCATTCACCAAAGGCAACGTAAGAGAGTTATTACATTGATTTTTTTTTTTTTGGGGTCCTTGCATGAATTTTAGGGAGTCACGCATGTGATTTGCTGCACAGGAACGACAGCTTTTCCTTCAAAGCGGTGGGATGGAGATAATACTCCAGAAAGAGTTGGTCAGAATTTTGTTATTATTAAATTACCACGCTTGGTGTCATAATAAAATGAAAAAGGAAAATTAATTAGACAAAGAGTCAGGCTCAGGAAATTTAAGAATATTGATGTTTCCTCTCTCTGAAAGATTTGTGCATACAGGACAGAGTTTATTAAATATTTTTAAGGTGTTTTCTATTCTTTTTAATCTGAGTGTTGTTATTATTATTATTATTATTATTTTGAAAGATTGGGATGGAGCAAGGAATCTGATATCTGCACTGCCCTCCTCCGTGAAGAGAGTTGTTCTTGTGTCATCAATAGGCGTGACTAAGTTCAATGAATTACCATGGAGGTAAGGATACTTAATAATTAGTTGTAGATTTAATAAACTTATCAGTCAATTATCTGTTATCATCAGTTGGCTTCCTAGAAAATCATAAATATGTTTCTAGCATTGCAAATCAGGGCCCTTTTAATGATTCCAGTAAATCACATAATCTTTTTGTTTCCCAATCATTGATGATACTGCTATTCTCCCCGAGTGAAATTATTCTTGCTGGATTATCGCTGTAAGAAAATGTGTATTCATGAAGCAACAGAAATTTGTCTTTTCAATGGAGGGAAAAAGTGAAATGGTGAGCATTTGATGATTTGACTTTTAATAGTCAACTTCCTTGATTAAACTTGAACTATAGCAAACCCTGTTGAGTACAGTGATGCTTCTTGCAAGAAATCTTGGCTTTACTTTAATTTATCATTATCATATTTACCTTTAGGGACCCAAAATCTACTTTTAACTCGGAATATTGGTTTGAATCTCTTTATGACACAGTGACTGGCCTTTATTAGTGATTAGAAAGTGTCATGAAAATATGACTGTTCTGTCTGAAAATTAAAGTTTCTGTGAACCAACTGCATTTTCATCTATCTTGTCTCAAATTTCTTATTACTATCCTGATGCAGACTGTCCTTATTAAAGATGTAATAAGAGAAAAGGAAAAGATGAAGGTGGTTGTTGTGGTCTACCATTTACCTAATTGAGTGAAAATTAGGAACAGATCAACTAGCTGATGCTTTGAAGAGAAAAATCAAACTACTATTTGAGCTGGGTTGCTAGTTCAACGCACTAGTCGGCTTCTTTGCCAGAGCGCTTTGTGATAAAGAAAGTGGTGTGGCAAAGATTTCACGCTAGAATAAGAGATATCCCACTCGTATCTTCTTGCTCCCAGTTTTTACCAAGCATAGATCGAAGCAGGTCAAATTCCTTATGGACTGACAGGTCACCTAAAGAGCTGGTGCTCTTTTTAAATGGCAGTAAATTGGTGCTTGTTAAAGAAAGCCTATGGTTTTCACCCAAAAAGAAAAGGAAGTCTTCAGTATCTCCTTTACTCGATCATTCTTTTCAAAAGGCTTTGCCAGAAGTTGGAGCAGAATAATACAGAACCAATTTACATAGTGTAGGCATGGAAAGAATATGAAGCTTCAACTGGAAATTGAGTGCAAGCTTTGACCAAATGAGTTTCATAAGTGCTTGGGAATATCTTGGTGAATGAGGGACACATGGAGATCTCTATACACAAGGTTCTATAAGAAGTTGGCTAGGTAGTCTGAGGTAAATTGGGGTGACGACAGAGGGAGAATTAGGCAGGATTTATTTATGTGGTAAGTCTTAGTCTGTTTTTAACTGATTTTGTGTCTATTTTTTACTGTAACTCAAGGGAAATACTTGGTTCCTAACATGTTATCAAAATAATACATTTCTAGGTGAAAGGTGAACGTAGGGTTGACATGTTAGAAAACGAGATGGAAAGCATGGAGAAACTTGGAAACAGAGTCAAACTTGGGTGAGCTAATGGAACTCATGGCTGAAATCAATGATTCCCCAGCACGTTGGAAAGAGAGGAGCAAATCTGGAATGTTGTCGTCTTTGGCATGAAGGAAAACCCAAAACTCTAGGCATAACAATGGCACAGAAAGTAAAAGTTGGCTAATTTAATGCAGAAGGGGAAGGGCCGAAGAGGAAAAAGAAAATGACAAAAATCTCAATTATAATTTGTGATAAATTTCAGGATAACTATTTTATTTGACTAAAAACAACCTAAATAAGAAATCCTTATGTTACTCAGATTCGAGTCCTCCACATTTTAATTCCTCTGGAATGCTAGGAGATTGTCTCTTTACTTGAATCTCTTCTTTGGTAATTCCTAATTTATCCTAAATTACCCCAATTATCCTATTACAAATCTCTAATCCCAAATTATTCTTGGAACATCACATGAAATAAAATTAATTTCTTGTTGTCATCTTCCATCATAGTTGCAAAGAATTGTCGATTGTTTCACTTGTTTACTAATATGCTACTTGGTGTTGTAGCGTTATGAACCTATTTGGTGTCCTCAAATATAAGAAGATGGCAGAGGATTTTCTTCAGGGTTCTGGCCTTCCATTTACTATTATCAGGTAAGATGAAAGTTGCGCATACTTCTCATTTTTGCTGATAGATAAATAAATAGGTGGAGCACATTAATTTGGATTATGTGCTGTTAACCCTCTTCATTCCACATTTTAATGTATGTCAGACCTGGGAGGTTGACTGATGGACCATACACATCATATGATCTAAATACTCTTCTCAAAGCCACAGCAGGGCAACGGCGTGCCGTGCTTATAGGTCAAGGTATGCTAAAATGCTCTTTGTTGTAGCCTTGGCACTGGTTTTTGTTTTCTTCTTCATTTCTAAGCATTTTTAGCTGAGGAGTTTATATAGACTGCTGGAAAACAACAATTTGATTCCTAGCATTGTAGTGTGTTTTAAGAATAAGCGGAATTTGAATTAGGGTAACTGTTTCTTTGTGATAATGATCATAGCCAGGAAATTATGAATATTAGGCTCACTTTTGATTTGCAATAAAAATCGCTCGAACGTTGAAATAGATACCATTTGAACTGATGGTGCTATATAACTCTCTGTGGCTATTGTAAATCAGGTTGATTACAAAATATAGGATCTGAATAAAAACAAGTTATAGAAATGGTATAGCTATTGACATCAAAAGTTACCCTTTTGGCAACCGAATCCTCAAATTGTAGCAACATTGCAACAAATAAATTGATATGAACCAAAGCAAAATTACCCTGAATTATGTGTCTTACGATAAATGGACTGCATTGGTCAAATATCAGGAGAATTGCTATAACTTGTGTGGACCTCTTCTCTTGGTTCTTGTTTGGACATGCAAAATAATGAGTGAAGGCCTTCTAACTGTGATCAAATTTATCAACATTCCCTTTTTCATGAAAAGGTATTGAAAACCGGACCAATCAAGACATTGGGTTAAAGGGTTAATAATCAAAATCATGGTGAAACCGGTCATAAATAAAGTATTTTATTGAATTGATCAATGATTTATTAGTTCAACCAGCCGGATTGACTCGGATTTCAATGCTATGCTTGAAAATCAGCTGCACACTTGCAAAAGAAATAGTAGCAGTGAAATGCTGACCTATGTAAGAATCTGAACTTTGCCTAATACTCAGAAGGCTCAACTTTTGATGGATCTAACGGTAAAGCACTTAAATGAATTCTCTTAAATGATGGTTCAAGTTGAATCTCGTAGTACTATTTATCGCACAGAAGTTAATTGCTCTATAATTTATAATTTGGATGGTCTTTTCTTCATTTTGTTTTCCTAATCATCTGCAATAGTAATGAATGCTGGGCTCTAACGGGACAGCAAGAGCATAAAGTTGGAGTAGCAGAGATGAGAATGTTACGATGGATGTGCGGACATACACGTAAAGATAAAATTCGAAATGAGCACATACGTGAAAAAGTGAGGGTGGCACCTATTGAGGAAAAAATGGTAGAAAATCGGTTGAGATGGTTTGGGCATGTACAAAGAAGACCAAGGGAGGCACCAGTGAGAAGAGTGGAACATATAACTTTGAGTCCGATTAAGAGAGGTAGAGGAAGGCCTAAGAGAACACTCTTGGAAGTTGTTGAACGTGATCTCTTAATTAATAATATTTCTAAAAGCTTAATAAATGATAGAGCACAATGGCGTCTTGCAATCCATGTAGCCGACCCCACCTAGTGGGATAAAGGCTTGTTGTTGTTGTTGTTTGTTGTTTTCCTAATCATCTGCAATGGACTTTCAGGAGATAAACTGGTTGGAGAGGCCAGCAGAATTGTTGTTGCTGAAGCTTGCATACAAGCACTAGATATAGAATGCACTGAAGGCAAAGTATATGAAATTAATTCTGTTGAGGTAGGCTTTAAACAGATTTTAATCTATGGCATATGATTGTGTAATGTCTAAATTTGTTTTTAAATTGTGTCCCTTTACTTGCTCTGTGCATATAATGGATGCTAAAAATGCATATATTATATTGTAATGACAATAGGGTGAAGGTCCTGGAAGTGATGCTGCAAGGTGGCAAGAACTATTCAGAGCTGCACAGTCCCAGTAACTACAAATATACAGCTTATACATATGATAAGGAAATTGACTGAGGCATCTTAAAATTACTGTTGTAAAGTATTCTAATTATGTTTGCAGTAAGTAGCATGTGAAGTGAGATGTGATTTTTCTCTCTCTCTATATATATATGTATGTATGTATTTATGTTCATTTTTACTGCTAACCTAACATTTCCTGGTAGGAAAGGGGGACCCACACCCACACTAGCATCTGGAGCTCAAAATCGTAACCTTTTCATTCCTGTTTTTTTTTTTGGGGGTATAATCGTAACCTTACCTTTTAAAGAAGCGTTCTGGTGTTAGTGGGCTAATAGGCTCTTGGCAGATTTCTTTATTCTAATAATGCAAGTGTAAGAGTGTGTGTGTTTCTTTTGGAATTTTTTTTTTCAAAATCTTCAGAACTATTTAGAAAACTGAAGCAATTAGCATTATTATAACGAAATGCTAAAAATAATTTTTTTTAATCCAGTTTGCCTCTAAACTTTCTGTAAAGTAAAATCACATTTTACAATGTTTTATGCTCATATGCCTTTCTATTTGTAAATTTTATTCTTATTTATATTGTAGAATTTTTGCTAGTGCAATATGGCAATTATATGATATTTTTCAATCAAAACTGGCAAACGTGATTTTTGTAGATGAGGACATGGTTATTTGATAAACTTGTAAATGTTGTTATATTTTTATTGAATAATGATATATTTATCATATTTTAATTTAAAGAAAAAACTAAACACATAGCACTGTAGTTTTTTTTATATATAATAAAGTTTATATCAGTTAAGTCTTGGGAGTTTGCTAGAATTAGGGCATACCTCTAGGCTTAAAAAGTGTTTAAAAACTGTCCTACTAACATGATCCTTACATTAGTAGTGAGATTTGATGTTATGATCTTTATAGTACTTTATAATACTTTATGTGAGTTAAATCTTCAGTAACTAAATTAACTTTTAACAGTACATAGTATTGTAGGCAAGTCTACACTGGAAAAATAAAATTTGGAAGTGATTTTAGAACATGTTTTAACTTCTAGGATAGCAAAAATTCATCAATCACTTTGGACATTTATAGTGTTGTATGAAGAGTTGGTCCTAGTTAACATTCTCTCTTCATCATAGACTTGATCTCACAAATCAAATCTCTTTCTTCATGAAGATGGCAATCCGCTCCTCTCTATCCAACACAAACTCATTGAGAAAATTGTGTGAACTACTAAACTTTACCACTAGGGTGCGGGGTGTTTCCACTTTTTTAATCTCATTTTCTCCTCCACTTCTTCAAAATGATATTGTTTTGATCAGTAGCGAAATCTCCATCTCCATTTCGAGTTACGATCATGACCATCAATGCCCTTATCTCACCTCACACCATCTTGACCGTCTCCCTCTTGGTAGTCGGCATCGCCCTCCTTCTTCCCTGCCAATTCAATGTTGGCATGCTCAATGCTCGGAGCAAGGAGGAAAGTCCGGTCACCACCTGGAACTGGCCACCATCGCCCAAATAGTTTGGGTTCTTCATGCCTTTTTTTCCTCGTTTAGTTTCAATATGCATGGGCATAATATGACATATTCGGCGGCTATTGAGATTGATCACTGATCACCGCGGGAGTCGGCATCCTTACTTGATGTTATGGCAATCTATAATGGGAAGGACGGGGAGGAGAAGCGCAATACTCTGATTCTGGTTAATGGTATCCTAGATGGGCTACCCAGTTTGCATTTGCTTCACGAATGTATGGCATTGTTGTAGTTATCAGAGTGATGATAGCTATGTAACCGATGATTTATCTATGTTTCATGCAATAAATGCAGTATAGTTGACGTAGTTTTGTCCGAGAGAAGCAATTTTAGGACCCTGACCCACTAGTTTTAGCTGTTACTACAAGTTATTAGTGCTAAAACTAGATTAGAATGACTCAAGGTCTCAAGTTTTAATTTTGGATATAAAGGATTCATATGGTTGATGAAGTCAATTCAAGATAAACCATTTATTCAGTTTGGCCATTAATTATCTACCATGCCACAGAGTGATAATGACGTTGGCACTTAATATCATCCTTGATCTTAGATAACTCTTTATCTCCTTTTTGGTATACCCCAAATCAACCCTCATTCATGCATATTTACTCATTAAATTAAAGAGGCATTTTGCTTAATCCCAGTTGTGTCAGCAGCTTCCAAAGCATAGCCTTATGCTTTGGGTAATCTTATTTATGATACTAACAAATGGTCTAAAAAATGATTATGGTCTAAAAGTAGTTTACTAACTCTATCTTCCATTCATTTTTCTTAACTATCATTTTCACTTTACACCTTGTTCCTTTCCTTATGAGGTTTCTTAATTTTAAAATCCTATCTATCTAGTTTTTTCATTCCTTCCTTGCAATAGATATATTTGTAGTATATGATAGAATCATTCTTCTTGCTCGTATTAGAGCTTTGTTTTCAACACCAAATCCTATTCTTCCACCACAGCCAATTCAATATTGTGAAGGCTCTTTTGCATGATCAAATTCAAGACCAAGTTGGAGTAATATATGTACCAAATTACAATCAGAATCCTTTCTTGCTGTGTGAGGATAACGTCGATTACAATGAAAACTCTTGAAACATCACTAACTAGAGGAGAAAATGAGACCTTTATTTTCTTTTAAATTTTCTCACTACCAATCAAGACGATGTTATTTTGAGGAAATGGAGGGAAATGCACGAAAAGGGAAGTAGAGACAACCTTGACACATAAGCCCATGTTGGTTTGTTTCACTATGGTGATTTTATAAAAAAATTATTTTACATTTTGTTATAATTATAAAAAATGATTAGTTTTATGACTTTCAGATTTTACGATATTTCCTTGCATTTCCATTCGTAAATAACATTTATTATTTAATTATTTTCAAATTTTATAGTCATATTTTATAATATTTTTATATTTTCTCTCATTCATTGCATTTAATTATTTTCAAAAGTTTTGAAAGTAATTTCTTGGAACAATTATAAATTTATTTTTTAATTCTGATTTTTTAAAAGTTTAGACGAATACAATAAAATGTCATAAAATTGATTTTTAAAAATAAGTGATTTTCTTAAAAAACTAACGACCCTTAAATTATCTCCATAGCTTCTTCGCACTCTAGCAAGAAGTGTAGGGCAATATATAGGTCAAGTGAATTATTTCTGTGCAATTTCGTTTTTTATGTTAACTTTGCAAATGTATTTTTTAAAAAAAAATTAGAAACAATTCAGTTATTTCTCTATTTTGAATAATCGATAAGCAACATGTGGTGCACATCAAGAATGCATGAAACTTTTCCTACAACATTTCTAGCTATGTCCTCACACACTAATACTTTACAAAAATAAAAAATAAAAATAAAAGAAGACTCTTTGATTTTTAATGATGTTAATTTGTTAGAAGATGTAAAGATGTACTTGTAGAAAAGTGTCATTAGAGAATTAAGATCCTTGAAGCAGCATATTTCAGCTTAGTAATACTAATAGCAACTTCTCATTCAAATAATAATAAATTTAAAACAAAAAGCCTCCATAATTAGTGACTTGTGAGTCAACATTTTCTATGAGACCTCCTCTGAAGCAATGTTGGCGAGACACTGAAAATATATCAATCAATATAAGCATCAATAGTACGTCGCAATATCATATTATTTATAAGTTAAATAATAATATGATTCATTCTTAATAAATATAATCATCACATGCACAACAATAGAAAGTTCTAGGATATATAAATTTGATGAGAAGCCCAACAGCCTCCATCTCGACTAGCTCAGGCAAGACCGGATTACATGCATTGCCCTACCTATAATAGCCCCACATATAATGATGATAAATTAGGATAGATGTTACAATCCATATTTTCTTTATTTATTCATGAAAAGGAATGAATTTCAAGAATGTTCAGGCCACAACAAACAAATTCTCACTTGAGTTCAGATGCCCTCTATCTACTAAATTGTAACACATGAATGATGTCTCCACGCCCATCTATTTAACACACACACACACACACACAAATCAATATATAACCAAATTGAATAATACACAATGACCAAGCCCGATTTTCCAGGAAAAAATGATGAGAAATTAGAGACAAATAACGAAGACTGAATCAATCACTTCGATCGCAGAATATACACCCAAGAATCTTGTGCCAGAAGCTGTTCTTAGGAACTGGTGTTGGTGAAGTAGTAGAAGCAGAAGCAGAATAAGACTGGGAAGAATTTGCACATTCAACAATTTCACATCCATCAACACCACTTTGTTTTGCTTTCTCGCACTCACCCATGAAAAACTTGAATGCTTCTTCAACATATTTCACTGCGTCTGCAACGTTCAGGCCCTCTATTAACTTGTGAGGGTATATATCTTTCTTGTGATCCCCATTCAGCGTTGCTGCTAGCTGCACCAGTTCTACTTGAAAGTCACTTAGTTTTGTATTTTCTTTTGCTTCAGCCTCTCTCAGTTTCACTGGTTCTGGCAAAGTCACTGCACATTCGCAACAAAGATTTATATGGGTTTAATGAACAACGTTTAACACAGATTCCCTGATATATTACTAAAGTGATCTGATTTCATCAAATACATGATGGAGTACTTGATTTTTTTAGGACCCACATAGTAGTAACATTCAAGGTTATTAAACTCATAAATTTAAGTAAACTCATATTGCAAACTTAGATCGTAAACTCGTAAGAGTTTACTTTTATTAACAAATAACCATTAAAATATGATTGTAATTTAATTTAAATATATTAAAAATATAAATCATTAAAATTAAATCCATATACATTGATAAATTATCATATACAAGACATACAAATTTTAAAATAGGGGAACTTATTTTTGGTATTTTTGTTTTCTTTTTTATTAATATTAATTTTTGCATTTTAAGTTCTTTTTTTGGAACCAAGTCCTATAACTTTTATGAACTGAATTCTTTATAGTTTACACTTAATTCACTCAACTCAAAAAAAAAAAAAAATTTGACTAGCTTAACAAGTTTAATCACACTTATATTTAGTCCGAGTTTATGAATTAATTAATACAATTTTATAAGTTGAAAATGTAAAAATGGTAAACTTAAAGATAAACTCATGAATTTAACTGAATTTATATCCAGTCCAAATTTATAAGTGAGTTGACATAATTTTATAAATTAAAAATGTAAAAACGTTAAACTTGTAGAGACAGTTCGGGAGTTTGATAACTATAGTAACATTACTAGAAAATAAGAGATTTGCAACGCACATTTTGTGTTGGATTAAACCCCATCGCAAAGGCATCCCAAATTTGCTTCAAAATGTGTCCCAAATATTTGTGACGGCATTTGGGTAGAATATAACATCTTAAATATTTGTGACAGAATTTTGGGATAAAAAATTGTATCTTAGAATTTGCGACGGCATTTGTAACAGAATATTATATCTCGAAATATTTATGACAAATCTTCATGTCACAGAACGAGTCATCCCAATTGTGTGACAAATGCATTGCAAATAATCTAACAAAGTTTAATTATCAAGTTTTCTATAATTGAAATAGATATGAAATTAAAATTGTATGAAATTATATATTTTAAATTCTATTAATTTCAGTGCATAGGCTAATTTTAATTATAATGGGAATTAAGTGTACATATATAGTAATACTTGTTTTGAATTATACAAGTTAATTATTACAATTAACAAAATGTTATATGTTTATAATATTATATATAATAATCATAATTAAAAATAAATGTTGCAAATCTGCAACATAACTTCCTTATTAAATTATTAATCTAGATATGATAAGAAATTCGTTCACATAATTTTAAATTTTTTAACTATGAAAAGCAAAAAACAAACTATTAAATTCAGTAATAATTTTTTAATTAAGAAAAACAATATATATATATATATATATATATACACACATATATATAACTCATTACTAAGCCAGCAGGAATCTAATGCGCAACCTAGTGGGCTTTAATGTTAAGAAACCAACAAGCTGCCCAACTCACCTTGCAATACTTTTAACATAATTTAGTTATGCATAATATCATTGCACTGCCCAAGCAATAATGTTCTGTTTGGTTGAAAAAAAAAATATGAAAAAAATAAAAAAAAAATTCTATGTTTAAGTGAAGAAGAAAAAGTGAGCAAGAGGAAAGAAAAGTGAGAAAGAAAATAAGATGAGACTCATCACATTCCTCCCTCAACTTTTCTCTCCAAGAGAGGAGAGATTTTAAAAGTAAAGTCTTATTTTCGTTGCCTACCTTGCCGTATCTCTTTTTGCTTCAACCACATTAATTCCTCACAACTAAATAAGAATTTGATTTCGACGAAAATTGCTTATCCTCACAAACAAATAAGATTTTGATCTTGGACAGAGAAGGAGAGAGAGGAGAGAGGTGGACAGAGACGGGAGGTGAGGTGTATAATAATATGAGAAATAAATTGGGTACACCATTATATTTTGTCATTAAAAAATATTAAAAAAAAAGCCAACTCAGTAAAATGTGGGCTCAAGAGTGGAAAATTAATTTCAAAGGTACTGAGGCAATGAAACTCTAACATTGAAGGATATAATTGACTTATAATTGAGTTTAAAGTGTCCATGGATCATTTAAGTAAAGTTGAGAGGTAAAAATAATTTTTTTTTTTATTTGTCAAAGTCCAAACTCAATATTTTTTATGCTTAATACTTATTATTTGGATTCCATCCCCAAAGTGGGACGATGTTTTCAACTCAAAGTGGCGTCGCACAATGTTACAATGGATATTGAAAGTTCCATCACAAATAATTTGCTATGAGCAAATTTTGGATCCCACATTTTAGGGGATTCAGATTTGTTAAGTGTGACAAATATTCTCACCAAGTGAGTGTCTCACATGACATTAGAAAAATTGTCAATTTAATTGAACAGCTACCAAAGATATAGGTACAAGATACAGAAATAATACCAAATTATCACTCTACATTTTATTGTGCCTCATATCTTAATTCATTAGCTCATATGACTAGGAGAAATTGTTGAAATGTATGATCATATAATAGGAATTGGTTTCCGTGCTCACCAGGTGATGAGCACCCAAACACATCGTTTTCATTAAAGGAGGAAGAATCTTAGCCGTTGTTCATGGAGCACATATCATAGCTATTTGTTGGAACCATCTTGGGTGATGACCATGGCATTCATCAAGGTGATGTAATCTAAATCATTCATATTTTTAATTTGGATTAATCTAGATGATCCAGATTTAAAAAAATAATTTAATATTTTTATTTTATATTTTTTTAAAAATAAAAATTTGTAAAAATTATAAAAAAAGTTCCAATAAATATTTTTTGATTAATCTAGTCTATATTTAATTTGAAGAGTCTAATTTAATAATAAAATTTTTATATTTTTATATATTAACTATCCAGATGTATTTTATACAATTCAGATTTAAAATTTTTGACTTTTAATTTTTTTAAAAAAATATTTTTAAAAAGTTATAATTAAAAGATTATATATATATATATATATATATTTAATATTGTAATCATCAAAATAAAAAATAAAAAATTTGAATTTGGACCTTACAGATAAACATTTAATATCAAATATGAACTATTCAGAGTACATAGTAGCTAGTCAATTTAAGAAATTATAATATTAAATTAGATCACTTAAATTAAATTAATACTATCCAAATTGATGATAAACTTATTTATAAAAAATTATAAAATTTTTATTTTAATAAATATAAATATAAATTAAAATTAAAAATTAAAAAAACATGGGCCATCCAAATTAAATCTGGATGGCCCAAATTTTATTTGATGGATGATCACCTCGGTTGCTGAGAACCGTAGACGGACCTCTGTTTGTTGCTGGTTTATTTTTGGGGCCTTTTAGCATCACTGAACGTAAGTGAAAAGGTTAAGGCTGGGGTATAGGAACAGGAGGGGATTCGACGACGGATGACGGTGAAGGTCTTGGCGACGGGATGCCGTGGATGTGGAAGAGTTTTTGAAGCCTCTCTGCATTGTGAAACTGATTGGTTGTCTAAAAGATTGCCGGGCGTGATGACATGAGGTAGGGAAAAAGAAGATCCGAATCATGAAAATGAAGAAACTTCCTCCACCTAATCAAATTAATCTAGCCTTCATCTAGTTCTTACACGCATGGCCACATCCGCACACCATCATCATCAACCTCATCAGTTCACATAATAGACTTGAGTGCCTCTCTTTTCCAGATGTATGCCCTTAATGTCTTGACATGAAACGTTGATAATATATATTGCAATGGTTTTGTCAATTAACCTTGAAAATCTAAACGGGCCACCTAAGAACATACAAGTATTCATTTTGGAGCAGAGGAAATTGGGTCTCTTATGCGAAGAAAAGGCATAACTTAATGGAGAGTCAATCATGGAGAATAGAGGACGGAAAAACGAAGGACCAATTTTAAAACGACCATGCGTTTTATTAAAATGAAAGTTTCTTGCTTTAAATTACTGATACTCCTGTTCTTCAAGTGATGAGAACCAAATGCTCATCACATGTGCTCTGCATGGAAACCATTCCCATCATATAATTGTCTTTTTAGTTCACTGTTTCATTTATTTCTGGAAAACCATGAAGTTTTAAGTGTTGATGAAATCTTAAGACTACAATGTGAACGTTCACTAAATAAAATGATTTGGGATACTCATAGAATCCATATCCCATTTCAGGGATCCATATATTTTTGACTCATATGAACTGTATAACTCGAGAAAATCACCAAGACAACATCTCAATGATGTTCATAGTTATCCTAGTTGAATTCAAATTCTAATTAACTGCATAAAGTGCAGTAAGAGAGAGATAAAGAAAGGATGAATCCAAATGACCGAATGAGCTAAGTGTGTGAAGAACAAAACACGTGTTTCAATGCACATTCTGATTCTTTTTCTCATTGTTTCTGAATATATTAATATATGATTTTGTAGAGAAATTTAATTTAGTTTGGTTGTCTATGTGTGTGTGTATATGTGCAGGAACGTAAAGGTTTAGAATTACCAGGGCAATCAGTTCGTGGAGTTGATCTAGTTAAAAGAACCTCGAATGTTCCAGCCCATGCATCACGCTTCGTCAAGAACTCGGGCAGGTTGAATATCTTCTTCACAGTCCCAAGTACAGACGAATGCTCGTAATGTGACGTTGCTTCTGGCCCAGATGGTTCATGCAACACTGCAACAACATTGAATTGACGACTACATTATCACAGAAATCTCTCATAAACATGACAATGCGTCGATCCTGCTTATATATATTATATATATATTTACCTGTGCCAGGTTCAATCCAAGGAGAAATGAAGAGTGCTGGAACCCTAACACCAAGACGATCGAACTGAAACTTAAAAGGGTCGGGGCCAACAATCCCATCGGGGCTGGGGACACCAGTGACCGGAGTCGGAACGTGGTCGAAGAACCCTCCGTGCTCGTCGTAAATGATGACGAAGAGCATTTCATTCCATTGAGGGCCTGATCTGAGGGATTCGTAGACTTCTTTGATGAAATTTTGGCCCTTGGAGACGTCGTGGGAAGGATGATCGTCGTTGCCAGGAATGGAGAGCAAGTCCCAGAACCTTTGCTCCAATACGACGTAGTTTGGAAGCTTCCCTTCTGCGCAATGCTTCTTGAAGGATAGATCGAACGAGTGCAAGTTGTCTACGTTCTTCAGCTTCCTCAGGTTCCTGCAACATTGCAAGGTTCACTTTAAACGCTGCCGTTTAGTACGAATAAGGGACACACAAAGATTGATATATGCAATATTTGGTATATTTATATTATCATTTATCATCTACAATAGTTTCTATTATTTTATGTGGAAAAAAAGAGATAATTTTATTGAATTTTTTTGGCTAAAATATTTTTATTGAAATTAATACCACGGGAGCAAATTGCATAAATCTCTTATGAGTTTAATTTAATTAGTAAGAATTAATAAATTTTACTATAAAATAAAAAATAGTAATTTGAAATAATTTAAATTTTAAGGAAAAATTTCATTTTTAATCATATAATATACTACTTAAATTTTTTTGATTTAATTCTTATAATTCGAGAATTCATCTAATTCGAGAATTCAATTCTCATGAAATGAGTGAAAGAAGTTAAGCCATAGAATTATTTTCGATTTATACTTTACAAGACTTGGATTTGGAGTCTATAGTATACTAAAAAAGACAAATACTTACATTAAAGAAATTTGTTTAGTACATATCATTAAAAAATGTAATTATATTCTGTAAAATAAAATCAATATAACTAATTGTATATATATATATATAAGAGTTCTAAATTTTTGTTAAATCCTGCTTCGTAGGATTCCTAAGTTTGTTAAAAATTAGTATCATGATATTTCTTTTTGTCTTTTATGCCAATTTCTTTTGCATTCAAGTCTTTTCTGCCAATTCGAATTTGCTTTTTGAAAGTTTTAACGTGTAACACACGAATCACCAAGTTGCAAGCCTTCAAGACAATTTATATTTTTTTTTAAATATATATCATGGTTTTTAAAAATAATTCAATTTAATTTAACATCTCTGTTTAATTTTTTTAATACATTATTATGTATTCAGATTAATAGAGGATCTAAATTTTATAGTTACTACAATTTGTAAAAATAGTATATATCAAGGAAAAAAGATCTATCAAGATGAGATATATTTATATAAGGAAAAAAGATCTACCGGAATTTATAAGAAAATAAAATAAAGATATATCAAAATTTATCAAAGAATAAAATAATAAAAAAATAAAATAGTTATGACCACCATAACTATATAAAATAATATATACAATCAAAAATATAATATTGTCCTGTATTTATAGTTTAAATAAAATTTAAAATTTTTTCAGTATTTATATAATTCGAATAAAATATTTAAAAATATTTCTAATCTTTTTAAGAAATTTACAATCTAACTTTTCAAATAAAGGGGAGGATTGAAAGATCAATTACTTTTTGTTGGATTACTTTTCATTTGAACTAAAACATATTGATCTTAAAAAAAGAATGAAACAATAATGTGTTTTTAAGAAATTTAAGAGTATAATATATATATATATATATATATATATATAACACAATAGAGACAAGAAAATTTTAGAACGGAGAATATCCACAGTTCTGTCTCTAGAATATGCTTGAGAACTCTTTTTTTTTTTTTAGGTCATTCATGTAGGAAATAATAATTAACTCAAATCCAGAAGTCAGACGATTACAACAACATTCTTAAGTTTAAAAGGGGGAGTTAAATAAAAATATTATATATGTGGAAAAAATACTATATATGTGTTATTTATTTCACATATATTTTATACATGGTTGCTTTCAATTATAAAAAGTAAATAATCGTCATTATTAACAATTAATCAATGTAAAATATGAAACTTATTATGATATGCTCTATGTCACAAGAAATCAACTAATTTCAAATCTTCTTTATATCTATGTATGCAATCGCATTCTAAAAAAAAAAAAAAATTTGGTAAGCAACTTTACGAAATTTAGGCAGTATTAAATATTTTATCACATTTTCCTCTAATTAAATAATAAAAAGTAATGGTGGCGGGGGGACTAATTAAAAATATAATTAATTGTATAAAAAAAAGAGAAATATAATTAAGAAATTATATTACACTTTAATGAAGGTAACTTTGAAGAGTTAATAATTATAACAACCTTTGAAAAGTTCAAAAAACTCCAATTAGTTTTAACAAACTTGTTTACATGAGAAGAATAATTAAAATTAACTTAGGTAAGGTCGTTTGTCAGCTACAAGTGACACAGGAATATTCTTTTTATACTTTCAACAAATTAATTATATTGCATAACTTGGATTTTACGAAAATGAACCCATGGTCAATAAATCAAAACCCACTGTATAGTACTGAACAGCTTGAATAAATATTTAAATCAACAAGACTTCTTTCAGACTTTATGCCTTTCTTCTGTCAAAAAAATAATAACATAACACTAAAAATTTCGGCTTCTTATGTGGGATTTCTTAAGTCCACGATTACAACTACACACACACACATTATATTTATTTATAGCATGTCCCAAACCTTAAAAACTTACGGCTTATTTTGTGTTTTTATGCATGTATAGCAAAAACTTCCACTATTTACATTTGTGAGTTTTATTTCTTAATGCATGCATGTACATTCTTCTCCATTACAAATCCATCATGTAAGTTAAGGAAAAAAAAATCAATATTATAAGTACTTTTATGTTTTAACTGAATTATATTCTCAGTAGATTAGTTAACTGTTTTTAAATTTATACAATTTCTTTATACTTACCCTTTTTAATAGGATATATCTATTAACAAATTTATTAATTATACCTTAATTAAAAGTATTTTTAGAAAAATACCATTAAGCACACATTGATTATTGAAAAGCCTAAAATACTTTAAATTTTTGTACATTTTATTTAAAAAATGTATTATATTTTGAGACGTGAGAGTGTATCATAGTTATGGACTATTTTTGTTTTTTCCAGTTTTTGTTACATACGTAACATATAACTATATGCTTGCCATTTGCCCATTATAGTTATGGATTGTTCATACTTCATAGTCACGAAGGTTTTTCTTTTGTTTTTTTCCCCCTCCACCCTCCCAAGTTGGCCAAAAAAAAAAAAAAAAAGCTTTATGTAAACAAGACGTAGAAGAAAGGGAAAGGTGCACGTACCTGTAGAAAAGAGTGGAGGGAACCGACTGAAAATAAATCCCAAAAGTGAATCCATTTTCTTCCAACGAATCAAATATCGTCTTCTGCGGCAGACCTCCGATCAGCTTCTTCGTGTCGTTGCTCGTCAGCCCGTGCGATGTCGCCGAGTGCACGAACATCCGGTTCGGCTGTGTCGACGCCGGCACCGATGCGAACCACCGGTCACACACCGCAAACTCCTTCACCAACTCTTCATACACCGGAACCCGACCCGGTTTGAACCCGTTCATCACCGTCTCCACCATCTCCTTCCCTTCCTTCTGCCTCCCCGCGTTCTGCACAAATCCTTCCATCTTTGCCGGAAGCTTCTTCACCGCCGACGCCTCACTCCACGGCTCCCCGAACACCTGCTCGTATATGTCCTGGATCGAGTGCCCCGGATCCGGCTCCACGTACACTGAATGGTCCTGAAAGAAGATCCGGTTCGACCCTGGGTCGGAGGTCGACACCGGGTTTGACTCCGATCCAGTAACGCCGTCGATTTCTGGGTTCAGAGACTTCATCCAACCAAGGATGTGGTCGAAGGAACGGTTCTCTTGAACCAAAACGACGATCGTTTTGATTGGGTATGGCGTAGTGGAGACAGACGAAGCCATTTTTGGAGCTAAAATAAAATGTTCTGATTCTGAACTGAAGCTATATATGTATGTATGTATGTATATATATATATATATAACGTTTTTGTGAGAGGATCCAAATCTTATATACAAGTGACTTGGGAAGTAAAAAAGAAGTTGAGATGACTTCAACTAATCTAGTTGTGTAGATTTGATTCCGTTTAGGTTACTTTTGGTGAGACATAAATATATGACGTTAAGAACTTTGCTTCACGATAGTTGCTTCGTGTTTTCTTTCTTAGATTTTTAAATTATCATAATTTAATAGCTTTTTCTTTTACAAGACTTATATAGTAAGCCTTATATATTTAATATATTTTTATCCTATCAAATCAGGATATATGAATTTTATTATATCTATAATATTAATAACAATAATTTATTATAAAACAAATAATTTATAAAAAAATTCTTATATCTTGATTTAATTGAAAATAAACATTTTAAATATACGAAGTTAAGTATAAAAAAATTATAAGCCCCTCTTTTTATAGGATCCTCTACCTGTAATGGAAAAAAATCTCTCTTAAGTTATGGAAAATAAATGATATAACCCTTTCATGTATTATGTTTAATCTACGCTAGATACGAAAACTATAAAATAATAACACTTATTTTCTTTGTTTTATTTATAAGTCATTTTTAATATTTTTATTAAAATAAAAAATTTTAAATATCATTAACTCTGTTTAAAAGTTTAACAAATTTTTAGCTTGAACCCTATTGAATATATACTTTAAAAACAAAATATTGTAACATTTAATAAGGGTAAAATAGTAAAAATGCATACAATAATTATTGAAATGGCCTATAAATAGAACTAAAATAAATACTATATACATATATATATATATAGATAAATAGGACTAGAGGAGTACTAAGTATTTGTTTAAGGGATGAGTATTTCTATCATTCATATCATCATAAGATGATTTAGTAGAGGGACAACCTTTTTATTCTAGGAGAATTATAAAGAAAAGATTGGGATTATAAAACTATGAACTCTTCAGAAAATGCAAATATCCCTTCATGTAACTAGAACATGCCAAAACAATGAGCTGGTTACACTAACCACTGACCATAGTTCCTAAGTTAAGAGGTCCTTTTTTTTTTAAAAAAAAAAAGCCCTTAAAATTTGAATTAAATTTAATTTATTCAAATGTGATTCGCAGAGTGTATATAATTAAAAATAGGAAGAAATATTTTAAGATCTCACTCAATATAATTAATTACTCACAGATCCATCAACAATTGAGTTTAAGAGAATGACAACACAACAGGCCTAGGAGCAATTAATTGAGTTGAGTTAGATTTGAATACAATTCTCTCTTAAAAATACATGCTGAAAGGGTTTGTCCCCTTCCCTGCAACCTTGTTTTGCTGGCCAAAAATATTGGAAGTAACCTTCAGATTAAACCTAAGTTTTATACTTTAAATAATTAAAGAGATTATTTGATAAATTGTATTAAATTTGTTAACAATTTATATTATTTTTTCATAATTTTATTAGGATCCATTATCACAAAAATAATTTATTATAATTTCACTTTTTATTGACCACAAAAATTGCGGTGCAACAAAGGACATTTTTTTAATAACTGCAGTAAACAAATTAAAGAGGGATCTTGTAAGCAGGATTAAGGGAAAATTTCTAGAAGATCCTTAAGAAGAAACGCAAGGAACGGGAAGTACTCCCTTACATGAGGTATTTTTAATATTTTTATGCCTTGAAAATGTCACAATATTATTAAATTTGTAAAAAAAAAAATCAAATATTCCGACGTAGCATTCAATCATATCTTGAATAGGATTATCTTTAATAGAAGAAAATATGTAGGTAACCCGAAAAAACCTCCATTTATTATTTTCAAGATTACTCGTAAAACTTCAAATAGTAAAAATAAAAAATTATTAGATACTTGTTGTCTGGACTGGAGTTGCATTATGGGCTAAGAGCTAAGAACGTTAGAACCCAACTCGAAGAATCTATGCAACAAGCCCACACAGCTAATACTTTGAGGCCCGACCTTTAGGGAAATTAGTAAAACGTGGAGCACTTATTCTGGCATATTCACTCGACAAGGCACAACTGTGGCCCTAGAATGAGCGCAAATCAATCCTTTAAATATCATTTTTAAAATTCAATTTCTAAAGATGTGTATGAAAAAATATTATTTAAGAGAAGATAATTTTTTGAATGGCATTGAAATTCTTCAGGGGATTAGTCATAGCTACGTCCCTGCTATTTATAAGGTAGAATGTGACGCTCTATTATGAATTTAAAATTTGCTCATCTAATATAATGATAGTGATTCATGTTAATTGAGGCTCATTACTTTGTTTTTTCCCCTTATTGTTAGAGTGCTCTTTGTGTACTTATTCTTTAAAGAATGCACCATCATTCCTACATGTGCAATTGTGGTCTCTGAAACTCTAACTTGCTTAGACATAAGAAAGTTATGTTAATTGATCTTGAGAAGTCCCAATTGCTAATCACTAACTCATTCAAGGATATAACTTTTGAAAGAGGATAACTCTTTAAATGGTGCTCAGATTTTTTAAAAGATTAATTTTATTGCTATCGACTGTGAGGATATCTTAAATAGCAAAAACGTGAAAAGACTTTGAAAAAAACACTCAACTTTTAAACTTACCTATAAATCTTTTTGATTTCTTCTTGTTGCTTCCCTCCATTTTAATTATAATTTCCCTCCACTTTAGAATTGACATTCTTATATATTTAATAATTAAAAGAACTTATCAATTACAATACAATACAATAATAAAGTAATAACATTAAAATTAATATATAAATCCAATCTCATTGAAAACATAATTCATAATTAAAAATAGATTAATTAAAAATTAAATTGTGAAACTGATGTGTGTGTAATATGTATTATATAATATGGAAGTATATATGTTTATATGTATGTTTGTAAATAAGCTGACTTATTAACCTTGTAGGCTAGGCCTAGGCCTGAAGAAGACCAGGGCATATGCCTATAAATCTAACAGAGGCATAACCTATTTTCACTCTTACTTGAAATGATGCTTAAGGGCTCATATTGTTAACATATGCCACGCTTTATAGTTTTCTCAATATTTGAAAAAAAAAGTTGAAGGTAAAAATATGTGGTTCCACATGTTATTTGAAGAGAAATGTCATTTTCTCTTCACTTTTCCCTCCCTTTCACTTTTCTCTCTTGCCAAGTAAAAGAACAAGTTATGCCATGTTAAAAAACGCTCTCACATTCTAAACGTGTATCTTAACAAGTCTCCTACTTCATCCCTCTTCATTTAACAATTTTTTATGCATCAGGCTTTGACCTATATTTTTATTATATTTAAGAAAAGTTCCTTAAAATTTAATATTCAACTATCTTTTGAATCTATATATTAATACTTAAATAAATATTAAGATTTATCAGTAACAAACGTAAATTCTTAAGTTATAAGTATTAAACTCACTTATCTTCATGTAAAGAGCTACTTGTCTTATAACTTAATCAATATAATATGTGAGATACCAACAGGTGTTGATTCTAGTAGATGGAATTATAATAATTTAAATGCGATAACTTGGATACGAATCCAAACATATAAAATATAAGAATATGTAATATGTGAGAGATCTAATCATGACAAGAAACGTACCGTATAAAAAATTTTAATTATAAGAATATATATATATATATATATATATATATATAGCGTTGTTTCATATGTTTCATTTGGCAAATTATGATGTAATCATGTATTGTCAACCACCCGCACTTTTTTTATATATTATCTCTCGGAGAGTGCGTTGAATAAACTTAGTAGGCTAAATTTATGATCAATTGCTCTTTATCCTCTAAATAAATTTTATCAATAATTTTTTATAATATATAAGTGATCCACATCATTATCATAACAAATAATATAAAAAAAGATTATAACTCATACCATATAACTTAGATTAATAAGTCATACTCTATTCAAATGGTTCAAATATTAAACTAACCATTCACATAGTACCATTTAACCATAAAAAACATTTATTAACTACCAATAGGCTAATTTTTAAATCATATAATTTTTAATCAATCAAAAACCTTCACTTAGTATTACCAACTTTCACAATTTGCCTTTATAATGAAAACCAAAGCTTAATTTAAATTTTATTAGATTCAAATGGCACAATTATTACCAAATAAATAGGATTAAACCATTGAAGAGCAAAACCCAATCTATTGGGGGTTTAATTTTTGCCTAAAATTTTCTTCTTTCATCCAATTGTCCACTCAAAACATTATAACACTATATAGAAGCTCCAAACAATATCTTTAGGACCCAAAAAAATGAAAGCTTATAAGAACTAATCCATTGGGATCAAAAATCAAAATTTTTCTCTTCCAAAAGTTTAAGAAAACTAAGAGGAAAGGAAGATGATTGAAGTAAGGAGCTTACCTAATGCACAACTGAGTTAGCCTCTTGAATTTGAGCCCTAACTTTCCTCTCTTCCTCCTCTCTCATCATCACTCGCTCTTCTCTTTGTTTCCTCTCTCTCATGCGTTCTTGTTCTTTTCCTTTCTTTGTTTCATTTTTCATTTCTGCATTATGTTAAAAAAAAAAAACTGAACTAAATACTTTGAGAAAAATTGCAAAGAAGGCCCAAATTTTTTTGTTATAACACAAAAGACTAGGGTAACTTTGATAATTTTTATCATAATTAAAAATAAAATAAAATTAAACTTTTACTTAATAAAGTTTAAACTCTGGACTTTTATCAAATTATTCTTAATTTTAATTTAATTATATATATATATATTATTTTTAAATTAAATTCGAGTCTTAAAAAAATTTCGGGATGTTATATTTTTCTTATAGGTTGATGACAAGAGATAGTGAGATATCTACATTACCACGTGCAGGTTGAGTAAAAAAATTATAGCAAATGATTATACAATGCTTGAGTCTCAAAGGCTAGGATGGATAAGAACACACTAAAAGGAGCTTAACGTTGATCAATAAGAAGGGCTATCAGATGCATTACTCAATGGTGAGAAGAGTGCTTCATCCATTGGTAGATGCATAATTTTGCCGGGGCCTTTTAT